CTCACAGAGTGTACTATGGTACCATTTTAAACAGTCATGGCTCCCCGCAAGGAATTCTGGGAGCTGTAGTTTGTTAAGGGCTGTTTGGGAGCCCCTCCGTTCACCTCACAGAGCTACTGTTTCCAGAGAAGTCGAACAATCAATCCCTCTTCACAGGGAACTCTGGGAATTATAGCCCTGTGAAGGGAACAGGGGTCTCCTAAAAACGCCCATCACCTTTAACCAACACCTACAGTTCCCAGAATCCTTTGGGGGAAGCCACAACCATTCCGAGTGGTGTGATAGTTGCTTTAAATTTATGGTGCGAATGTGGCCTTGGTCAATTCAGGCAGCCATCATTCTTCATTTTTTTTAAAATAAAAAAAATATATATGCATATGGATAACCAGTAGTTGTCTAAATAGCGGCAGCCATCGGAAAATGAAACAATTTAAAAAGTTTCTCTGTAACATTTAAATATTTTTGAAAGGAAAAAAAAAAGTCCCAAAGATCATGCAAGAAAGGAAGCGGATGAAGGCAGAAAATGTCAAGTTGGGGGTGGGGACGGGGACGGGAATCTGTTTGTATTGGGATAAGCTAGAAGGGGCCCCGTTGAAAGAGGGAGAAATTGTAAAGTGTGTACATGAGAGGGCGAGAAGGAGGAAGAAAGAGAAGCTGAGAAACAGAGAGAGAGAAATAGAGAGAGAGAGAGAAATAGATATAGAGTACCACCAAGGAAGCCCACCGGCATGAAAATATGGCATGAAAACTGAAACCACCTTTTTAAAAGGGAAGTCAACTTCATTTGAGTTTGATTCTACTCAGGGATAGCTCAAAATATTTTGAAGCAGAGAAGCAAATGCTGCCCACCCGCTGCCAGACCCTGTGATCATCACCTAAGGCCTCCTACATGGGAGGTCCGGAGGGTGGCAACATGAAAACAGGCCTTTTTGGTGGTGGCTCCCCTGCTTGCACAATACTGTCCTCAGGGAGGCTCTCTGGTGCCATCATTGGCCTCGTCAAGTGGGTGGGATGTTTTAATCCTGTCTTTTAAAAATAGTATTGTCTTTTAGATACGCCTTCATTATGTGATAAGTCACTTTGCATGACTTTTGTAAAAACAAACAAACAACCCAACTAATAAAGTTAATTTATTGATATTATTATTATTATTATTATTATTATTATTATTATTATTATTAATATTATATATAATAATTAAATATAAATAAGAAGAAGTCGAAGTCAAGGTATCTAGTGTACTCAAGGCCAGCAGAGTTATTTTGGGAGCTGCGACGGAATATCCCACTAGCATCCCTCCTGATTACCTGGCAGTAAAAATAGAAGAAAATAGTGAACAACTGGCAATTTGCTGCCTTTTCATGACACCAAATCTGCTGCCTGAGGTGCCTGCCTCACTCTGCTCAATGGTAGAGCTGGCCTTGATACTATTTCTTTCCCCCTGCATCCTAGCCTGCAGAATTTATTTCCTATGGGCCCAGGGAATGGGATGTATGAGGAGGTAAGAACCCTGCTTGAAACCATGGAGACTTGCTGCCAATCCCCATCAATTATACTGAGTTATGTGGACCAATGGTCTGGTTCAATATGAGGCAGCTTCCTGTGTTCCTAGGAGACAGAGGTGCCAGCTTGCAATTGGAGGAGCCGTCGTCACGTGTAATGTCCCGATGTCATGAGTGTGACATCAGAACGTTGGGAGGAGCCAAATCCGTCTCCTCCTCTGCCCCTCTTGGCACTGCCACTGGTGGGAAGCTACTTCGACCCTCCTTCCTTCTGTAGCTGGAGGCACACCATGATGGGTTCCACTCTTCAGGTCCATGTTTTTAGGGGGGCGGCCCCTACCCTCAAAATATAGGGGTATCCAAAAGGGAGCCTGCTAGGAGAAGTTCTCTGTTTTCTGCCACACAAGAGGAAAACCCTTGTCTTACATCAGGGATGGGGAACCTGCGGTCCTCCGAAAGTCACTGGACTCTAAACATGAACCCTAACTTGGCTCCCATCAACTCTGGCTGTTGGGGTTGATGGGAATTGTAGTCTAGATACATCTACCACCCCATCGTACATGCTGCTAACCACCTGGGCTTTTCTAAGAGTACTGAGATTAAAAAATATTGATAATTTAAGCCTTCTGGTGGATTAATTGGGGGCAACAAATACTCCTTTTTAATCTAAATAGTTGGTTGACTAAAATGTGGTGGCTGACACAAGTAAATAATAATTATGATAACCAGGGATTTTTTTTTTCAGTCCTGGCACCTCTCAGGTGGGCACCATTATAAGAGAACAAGGGAGTTCATGGTGAGTTCCAACACCTGTTTTTTCTAGAAAAATAGCACAGATAACAATGATTCTAGTAGCAAACTGACCTGATAATTTTCTCATTTTCTTTACAGGCATAGCACCAGATTCGTTTGGGGGTTTCATTTGAGCCACCTCAAACCCACCACATTCTGTGGGAGAGGGAAATGGAGCTTTCTGCTTTGCCTCAGATAATATTTAAAAAAGGAAAAGGAAACTACACAGTTATCTTCCCTTTTAAATGTGAAATTTAAACAGACAACAGAGTTCAATGGTTGTACAGAACTAAAGAAAGACGTCTGTGCGTTTCTCAATTGGCCGGGAGGGTTCCACACTTACACACACAAAGAAACGAAACGGAAGGGGAAAATTGTAGTAATAATAATAATGATAATAACAGAAGAAATAATATTTATTTTCTAGATCCACATGACAACAATGGAAGAAAAAGAAAAAGAGAAAGATATAGTTTGCATTTCTGTACATTACAAAAAGGGAAGAAAACAAGAAAGAAAATGCAGGAATCCGAAAGGCACACCCCAGTCGCCCTCCCGCCCAGTCTCCCCTGATTTCTGCCGAGCAAGAAATTGAACTTTTATATTACCACATTTCGGACGGGAGGCTAAAGAAAAACACAGATTGGGATTAAAAATGAAAAATAAAATAAAAGTTGCACAGGACAGCAGGAGCCGCAATTGACAACCAAAGGAAACGTGTGTTGACTCGAGTATTATCAGGGAATTTGTAGAAAAGCTGGCTCTTTTATTCATTTCCCGAAGCATTAAAATACATCCTGCTTTGATTCCCACACCTCTGAGACATGAAGCGCACTGTATGACTAGTTTTAGAGTGTGAGAGAGGAAACAACCCCCGTTCACAAGAGTGCTCATCCCTGACACCTCTGTGTGAGTTGCTGTTCTGGGAGTGAATTTTCAGAGGACACAATTGTGCTGATGGATCCAATGTAAGCCCGGAGTCGTAACGGATTCCAAAGTCAGTTTGGGAAAAATGAGTCCGAGGAAAGGGGAAATGATCCACCCAACCCCAGAACAGTGACTCGTGCAGAGACCCAGGCAACCTCTGCAACCAACTCCTTGGTGTCTTTCACATTCTTCCCTGGCACACAGTATGGCAGTCCCTGGATTAGGAAACTTTGTGCAGGGATGCAGCCCTCCTCCAGATGTTGTTGAGCTACAAGTCCCATCAGCCCCAGCCAGCATGGCCAGTGGTCAGGGATGGTGGGAGTTAGAATCCATCAACACCCTGGGGGGGGGTCACAGAGCCCTCGCCTTTCATTTAATGCCACCTTTTTTGAACTGGGGCAGGGCAGGGGGAAAGGCTCACATAGAGATGAATAATGGAATAAACAAACTACAGTGATTTGGGGTGTGCGGGGAAAAAGAGGTAGAATCACATGGTTAGGAAAATAAATAAAAATGTGTATATATGTTGTTTATAATTTTTTTTAAAAAAAGAGGGAGAAAGAGACGGCTGAGGAGAAAGAGACAATGGAATGGATAAACTTAGAGTGGATTGGCCTAGCAAACTCTCTGGGGAAAATTGTACCAGGAATTCCTTCCTTGCAAGATGCTCAGAAATTTGGAGGTAAAATGGTAGGGGGAGGGGCAGGGGAATGGAGGGAGGTAATCCTAATGGAGAATGCTTAAACTGAAAGAACTCATCTTCTTTTGAAGCATGTATACCACAGGGAGGGCTGCTTTCAGGGTGGGGAAGCCTGGAATTGGCTGTAGGTGATATTGCATTAAAACACAAACTGAATCCGTTCCTTTCCCATCTCTGCTCTTTAAAGGCACAGCGCTGTTGTCAAGCTAAACCATGGAGGGCAACGCTTCCTAGTCATAGGAAGCTGCCTTAAACCAAGTGTGACCTTGATCCATCTAGCTAAACATTGCCCACCCTGACTGGCAGCAGCTCTCCAGGGTCTCCAGCAGGCATCTTTGAGACGCCAGGGATTCAGCCTGCAATGGTCTGTGCAAAACGTATGCTCTACCACCGAACTGCAGCCTGTTCCTGCCTTCAGACAGCTTACATGTGGGTAAAAAAAAAGCAAAAAGACTCCCAGCAATAGCCAGGATCGGGACCTTTCCTGCGGACCACAAACAGGCAGTGAGAGGTGGTGATAAAAGCATGGAGAGAAGAGAAGTATGGAAACCTTTGGCGTACAGACCCAAATCCTCGGACCTGAAAACATTTGGCGATGGATTTTTGTCTCAACGCTACTCCTCAAAAACATCTCTGCAAAGTGCTTCCTGGACTCACAGAATTGGAAGGGACCCAAAGGGTAATCTAGCCCAAATTCTACCATCGAGTTACCCCAATGCAGATGTAGCACATGAGTGTCTGATGAAAAGGGAAAGAGACGGAGAAGGAGGGAGGGAGAGAAAGTTCCAGAGCAACCCCCCAGCCCTCCGGATGCTGTGGGGCTGCAGGTCCCATCGTCCCCAACCACTGGCCATGCTGGCTATTGGGAGTTGGAGTCCAGCAGCACCTGAAAGCCTGGCTTGGAGGAACATCTTCTCCTTAGCCTTCCCTGTCTGCCACGCTTTGAGCAAAACGCCTAAGAGGAGGCAGCAACGTGAGATGGGGCTGATCCGATCTGGGGAGGAAAGGTGGGGCGGCGGCAGCTGGGGAAGGTGGGGTTGGATTGAACCCTGAGAAAAGCAAACCCCATAGGTCCATACCTCCTGTTTCTTCTCCAAGAGGGCGCCGTGGCTATGGCGGCCGTTCTGGGCACCGCCCTTGTGCCCGTTTTGGTGAGGCGTGGCCGATCGGCTGTGGCCGGTACAGGAGGAGGAGGGGCTCTGGCTGGACTGGTGGCTGCTGCCCTTCTGGGCATCCTCTCTGTACTTGGGACTCGGTCTGCAAGCAAAGGGGAGGACAGAGAGGGTTGGTCAGCAGCTATGTAGGTCTCCATGAGACTGTTGCTCTCTTTCTTAGAAGGATTTATAGATCCCCTTTTATTTCAAGGAGAAATAGCAAGGCAGTTCCCAAACAAATAAAGGACAACAGCAATTGAAGAAGCATAACATCTAGTAGGAACATAAGAAGAGTCTGCTGGATCAGGCCAACAGCCCATCTGATCTACCATCCTCTACTCAAAGTGGCCAACCAGCTGCTCTAACAGAAGCCAGCAAGCAGGTTGATTGGAAGCATATGGGGTAAGGCCACCAGGTAGGTTTTGCTGCAGAAGGATGTAATACAGCTAAAGAGAACCCAGACGTAACTATCCTGCTTTGATCTGGTGCAAGAGTTCACAGGGAAAGGCAGGCTGGTTGTTTCAGCACCAAGGAGAGCTCCCACTGAGGAACTTGTGCCAATATCAGAACATAAGAGCCTCTTGGATCAGGCCAATGGCCCACCTAGACCAGCACCCTGTTCACACAGTTGCCAACCAGTAGGAAGCCCTGACGCAGGATCCGAGCACCAGAGCCCTCCAGCAGTTTCCAGGAACTGGTAGTCAGAAGCATCGCCACCTCTAACTCTGGAGGCAGAGCTAGCCTTATCCTCCTCCATGAATTTATCTAATCCTCCTTTGAGTGAAAAAACCATCCACAACCGGTCCCATTTAAAGAGCCCCCCCCAAGCTGTGCCTCCCCACCCCTAAACCTGGGGCCAAACCAGGCGCAAGCCCAGCCTACCTGCTTGTCAATTTGCAGTCGCTGTAATCCGAGGAGAGCGAGGCGCTCCGGGAACTGCAGCTGCTGCGCCTGTGGGACCTCCGAGTGGACGACTCGCTGTGTGACCTGGGAGAGGATGGGGAGAAGCGGGAGGGTGAGGCAGAACCTGGCGCTCCAGCAGCTTGGCACACCATGCAAGTTGGAGTTAACCCTTTGTTAGCGAAAACAAGATCTGCACAGACTTGGATGAGCACAACAGCTTATCCCTGGTAGGTCTTGCCCCATGGAGCAGTTACTGAGACTAAAGGTCCTCGCCTCTCCATAGCTGCCTAAGTGCTCTCTTCTTCAGCATTTCCCCCAAGCAATCAGAGACTGCACCTACACACAGCTAATCTCTCCTCTTCCCTTTTCATGCCTCTCCTGGTTCTAGAAGACAAGGTGGGAGGGGAGCTTGTTGTGGCAGGAAGGGGAGGCACACATGACTCTGCACCAGCCTGACCCCTCTCTGCCTCTTGGTCTCCCTCCTCTCCTGCTTCAACCTCTGCCTCTTTATTCTGGACTTCTCTCTGCCACAGACTCCCCCAGCTCACTAAGCCCTGTTAACCCTTCAGATTCTGACACCTTCCAGTCCTCTCCCTCTTATCCCTCCCCCATTCCCACCCCATCCTGGTTCTCAGCCTTCTTCCCCTGGGGGTTCCCCAGCTGGTTCCCCCTACTATTTTTCTGTGTCCAATTAGTCCATGACTGGCTCAGGAGGAGTTCTGGGACTGCCCCCATCATGACCCAGACCCTGATTGACAGCCAGGACTTTGGCACAAAGGAAGGACCAGCTGGTGCAAGCTACAGAGGGGCTGAATTTGGATCCAGGCCTGGATGCCGAGCCTAACCATGGGTCTGGGTTCAGGAGTCTGACGGGACCTTGAGTCACCAGTTCTGAAAGCATCACACTGGCTGCTGGTGAGCTACCGGGCCAAATTCAATGGTCATCTAGTCCAACCCTCTGCAATTCAGGAATCACAATGAAAGAATCCCTGACAGGTGGTCATCCAGCCTCTGTTGGAAACAGAGCAAGTGAGTGTCCACCACCTTCCAAAGGAGGCTGTTCTGCTGTCAAACAGCTTTTGCCATTGGAAAGCTCTTCCTAATGTTTAGTCAGAATTTCCTTTCTTGTAATCTGAATCCATTGGTTTGGGTCCTGCCCTCTGGAGCAGCAGGAAACAAGCTTGCTTCATCTTCCATGAGTTATTTCAAGATGGTTAATTCCCATTTTATTCGCTTCCGGGGGGAAATTTCACTTGCAAGTAACATGGGAATAAGCATCCAGCTTGTGCTATTTTCTTCTGCGGATGGAGTGCAATCCATTCTGATCCTCACCTTTTTCTGTCTTTGTTCTTCTCTTTCCTTTTGCTCTTGAGACTTCTGGACCTATGAGACAGCAGAAAACTGAACGCACATGAAAAGGGAGAGGGAGGGGAGAGAGAGAGAGAGAGAGAGGAGAGAGGAGGAGGAGGGAAACAGACATGGGCACAGGAAGCACCAGCCTCAGCAGCCAGTTTTTCCTTCTAGAATATTTCATGGAACAGCTTGCCCAGGTGCTAAAGTGCCAAACCTGTGGCCTGCTTATCATTCGCTCCATGGGGAGTTGACTCTTAGGGGGTGGGGTCTGGAATCAGAGGGGCAGGCTATTTTCTGACAGTCTGGAGAACGTTTTGCAAGTCATGACATCTCACCTCACCATGACCCATTGCCTTATCTGCACCTTCAAATCACCTTCCTGTGCTGAAATGAACAGGGAGGCTGTTGCAGACGAGGAGAGCTCTGTGTGCCTGCACTGAAAGCTCTTGCTGTTCCATTGTTATCACTAAGTGATTATAATGTTGGTACATTTTATGCCTTATTATATAAATTCTGGCCACCACACCTCCCCAGCTTGCAGAGAACAGCTCTAGAGACCGTACTTCACATAAGAACATTAAGATGAGCCCTGCTGGATCAGACCGAGAGCTCACCTAACTAATCTTTGCCATGGCCGGCTCTATCATTAGACAAAGTGAGGTAGCCACCTCCAATGGCAGATTCTGGGTGACATGTTTCACAGAGCTGGCAACCGTTGCCTCTGGGAATCCCACAAGCAGGGCAGGAGTGCAGTTACTTTCTCCTGCTGTTGTTCTGGTATTCAGAGGTATGTTTTCTATGACTAGTAGTCACTGATAGCCTTTCCTTCCATAAATCTGTTTGACTCCACTTTTAAATGCCTTTGAAGTTGGTAACCATCATGACATCTTTCCATGGCAGATTCCACAGGCAACCCCTGCACCCATCTGGATGTCCAAGGCTGGACTTCCTTGGTGGTGGCCCCATCATTATGGAACAAACTCCTCCAGGAGTTCCTGGCAGGTGAAATCTTGGTGACACCCTTCCGGGCAAGTCAAGTGACTTTCCTTGTTCCCTGCAAGCCTTTGAACCCAGATCCTTTGGCCTTTTCGTGCCTGGCTATGGTGGCCTTTATGGAGCTACTTTCATGGCCCTGCACCAATTTGGTTTCTTCTGTGCTTGGCCGGAAGAGACCTTGAGCCCGACAAGGGGGCAAGTGGTGAATTTGTTCTAGAAAGAGGATCAAATGTAGTCTTTGGCCACTAGAGGGCAGTGTATAGTTTGCCTTGCTGGTCACGGCTGAGGTGGGGGAGGAGGTGAGGAATGTGGATGTGGGATTAGGGGAGACAAGGTGTGCAGTGGGGGGAGGAATCTACACCATTAACCCTCACCTGTGCCTCCTCTTCTTACGAGAGCCAGACGCAGACCTGATGGGCAACCGGCAAGAACAGGAACAAAGAGAGGAAAGGAGAGACACTGGTTGAGATGGTCCAGGAGAAAGGGGGGGGGGCGCATAGCCAAATATCTCTTTCCTTGCATAAGAGCCACACCAAAGACACAGCACCCAGATTACCCTATTCCTGAATTTTCAATTGCTGTACCCAGCCCTGAGACCTGCTGATGAAGGGTGAGCAATAAATTTAATAATAATAAATAAATTGCCCATTCCAGACCATCTCAGTCCAGAATGTGGGTGGGGTGGGGTTGTGAAGAACAGAAAGGTTGACCATGGCCTTTACTGACGGAACCTGCAGCAACTTATCTCTATGTAACACAGCCATGTTGCCCTGTCGATGTCACTGGACTCCAATTCACAGCATCCTGCCAGAGCTGATGGGAGTTGGAGGTTGCGACAATCTATAGCCTCTGTTAGTTCTGGTCCATTCAGCCCAGTTCTAACCTGTTGTGACTGGCAGTGGCACACCTCAATTTCATGAAAAGAAAGGTCTCTTCCAATCCAGGGGCCTCCATTTAACTGGAAATGCTGGGCGGGGGGTCAGACCTGGGAACTTTTGCTTTAAAAAAGTATGTACTCTCCTGGCAATGGGAGATGGTCTAGTGGAAGAGACAGATAAGAACAAAGGAAGATGTGTTAGACTATTGAACCACTTAGCTCAGTAGTGTCTACACCAACCGGCAGTGGCTCCCTAGGGCCCAAGCCAGGGATGTCGGGGATCGAATATAATAAAAATGGAAGGGTGTTGTCATGCTGCAGTTTGCTTGGCTGTCAACAGGTGGCGCTGCTGACTGGTGACTACAGCATGCTGACTAGTGGTGGATGGGCAGCCCAGACAAGCCATAGAGGGACAGACAGGACAGGCTGCACCAGTCCCTCAGCTTCTCTGCCTCCTCTACCTACCAGCCTGAGGGCAATTGCCTCCAGGGTCCAGATCCCTGGGCCAGCTGGCAGTGCTACTGGCCAGCTTTGGAACTGGCTGCTTGCCCAGAAGTAGCCACACAAGTTTCCAATATCCTGTCACAGTCCAGCGTGACCAGAAAATGGAAGCCAGGATAGTGAAGCATTTGCAATGAAAAGAGATGCTGCCAGGATTTTCAGTGCCTTCCCCCATCCCTCCCCAGAGATGACACTGGAGATTGAACCGGGGCACCTTCTGCATGAAAAGCAGATGTTCTGCCAGTGAGCTATGGACCTTCCTATTGATAGGGGGAAATGAAAAGGGGGAGCCCTGAGTCCTTTACCTGTCTCTCCGATGTTTTTTCCCTGTCTTCTTCTTCTTCTCCTTCCGGACCGGGGAAGAGCTATCCCCGCTGAAAAGCAAAAAAAGGACTATGTCAGTTTGTCAGGAGGAAATGGAGCTGAATAAGCATGTGGGAATGTCATAAGAGAAGCCTGCTGGATCAAGCCAATGGCCCATCTAATCCAGCTTCCTGTTTTCACAGAGGCCAACTAGATCATGGGTAGGCAAACTAAGGCCTGGGGGCCGCATCCGGCCCTATCACCTTCTCAGTCCGGCCCGCGGATGGTCCAGGAATCAGCGTGTTTTTACATGAGTAGAATGTGTCCTTTTATTTAAAATGCATCTCTGGGTTATTTGTGGGGCACAGGAATTTGTTCATTTTTATTTATTTCAAAATATAGTCCAGCCCCCCACAAGGTCTGAGAGACAGTGGACTGGCCCCCTTCTGAAAAAGTTTGCTGACCCCTGAACTAGATGCTTTATATGGGAAATCTGCAAGCAGGACCTGACCACAAGAGCCCTCTACCCTCCTGTGGTTTCTAGCAACTGGGAAGCAGAAGCTGGGCTGCCTTCAACTGTAGAGGCAGAGCCCTCCCCTCCACGAATTTCTCCAATTCTCTTTTGAAGCCATCCAAGGCATCCAGACGAATTAGCCCCCTTGCTTTATGGGACTGCTTTTTGGGTGGCTGGGGAAACCGTATGGGGAAAGCCATAAAAAACCAGACACCTTGGATGGGTTTCTATAAATATATGGGAAATTATAGGTAATAGATCATGTGGATGATGCGAATTCTGTTGGCACTCACCTGCGTTCAGATCCAGGTTTCCTTTTTTTGCTGAGATTGCAAGACAGGAAACAGACAAAGGAGAGGTTAAGGAGTGTCTCTCTGAAAAGAGCGGAGGGTTTGTAGAACAGGGTAGACTTTTGAAATCACGACCGGGCCGGACAAGTGTCTAGCCTGGAATATTTTTAAAACCAGTAAGTAAATTACACAGGCCACATCTATCAGGACTGTGTGTGTTTTTGAGCCCCTGCGCAAACACAGAAAGGGTTCAATTCGACACCCAAAGAATCTCAGCTTTCTTGAGCAAGTTGCTAGTCCCTGTGGAGGTGAAAGCAGGCATCATAACTTGTGGGGTTCAGAAGCATTGCCAGGGATTTGGGGTTGGAGAACTCTTGTTCCATCTGTCAAATTTGTAACCCCCCCCCCACTTTTTTTCCTCCAAGGAGCTCAGGGTTTTCCAGTTTTATCCACACTACAACCCTGTGAGGTAGGTCAGACCAAGAGAGAACAACATTCCTCAGGCTTATACATTTTTGCAAAGGGGGGGGGGTGTTTCACAAACCTTTTTATGTTTCATGTGTCTGTTGCTTTAATTTAGCCCTACTTAGGTGGCATTATGGGTAAGACCCACCCCAGCAGGGAGTGAGGGCCATGCTAGGTAGTAACCCCCCCCCCCATTTCACATGTTCCAATTTCAGTATTTAAGGAATGGCATCTGCTGCGGTCATCACCCCCACTTTTTAAACTTGTTAAATTTCACCACCTGTTATGGGGTGGTAGTAAGAAAGGGGGGGACTGACTCTATTGAGTTCACATTTAAAGACAAACTTTACTCAATCCGCACTTCCAGGAACAATATGCAAACGAAACACAGACACCCTTCAAAATCCACACTTCTCCCAATTTTGCAATGCACTTCTCCAACCAAGTAATGTGTGCCAAAATGTATTCACTTGAGTAATGTGTGTATAAAATGCATATTGCAATTTCACCACCATATAACCTTGCTTTCTTCCCTTAAGACCACGCTTTTGCTATGAGGACATCCTCCCAATCATTCTTAATGCAATCCATAACATTTCATTTAGGCAGCCGACAATTTAATGATTTCAATTTGATGCCCCCCTCCCCTGCCCCACTTGTTGAGACATTTCTGGGGAGGGGTTTGTGGGTTGGCAAATGCTATTGTTATTTGCTTAATGGGGGTATAATAATAGAATCACAGAACTGTAGAGCTGGAAGGTCTAGTTCAACCCCCTAAAATGCAGGTCTACTTTTGCCCAATGTGGGGTTCAAACCCATGACCCTGGGATTAAGAGTCTCATGCTCTACTGACTGGGTAAAAGGTAAAGAGACCCCTGACCATTAGGTCCATTCATGGCCGACTCTGGGGTTGCGGCGCTCATCTCGCTTTATTGGCCGAGGGAGCCGGTGTACAGCTTCCGGGTCATGTGGCCAGCATGGCTAAGCCGCTTCTGGCGAACCAGAGCAGCGCACGGAAACGCCGTTTACCTTCCCGCTGGAGTGGTACCTATTTATCTACTTGCACTTTGACGTGCTTTCGAACTGCTAGGTTGGCAGGAGCAGGGACCGAACAATGGGAGCTCACCCCATCGCTGGGATTCAAACCACCGACCTTCTGATCGGCAAGTATTAGGCTCTGTGGTTTAACCCACAGCACCACCACTGTAATCCTGGGTAGTATGCTGCTATTATTAATACCAGGAGTTCCTGGAGGATATATGTGATCAGGATCCATCTCAAGCTGGTTTCAGGCATGGTTTGGGGACTGAATTAGCCATAGTCACCCTAATGGATGATCTCTATTGAGAGTGGGGTGAGGGCAGTGGGACTCTGTTTCTGCTTCTTGATCTCAGCAGCTTCGGATACCATTGGCCATGGTGCCCTCCCCACCTTTTGGCTGAAAGCAGAGGCAAGAGGAAGACCTGTGGCCCGCCACATCCCCATCCCTGCATCAAATAAGCAGCCGCTGCTGAATTGCTAACGTTTTCTATCGTACTGCGTTATAATTATAGTGATTGTCTGTAAATTATCGACGCGCGGAACCACTTGGGAGCACAATGTATTTGCAGGAAATGCAGCGTGCGAGGAAACTGACGGTGACTTTGTAATGTATTGTTACAAAGTACTGTTCTTACAGCATGGTCATCTCAAGAGGGGCTTGTTCTTCACAGCACTGAAATGTAAGGCATCTCCCAGACCCTCCAAGTGTCCCTGTTTTCCAGAGACAGTCCCAGATTTACAGAAGCTGTCCTGGTTTCTGATTTGATCTCAGAATGTCCCACTTTTCCTTAGGATGTCCCTATTTTTTCTGGAGAAATGTTGCGGGGTATAGAGTTATGTGACTCCCCCCCCCCCCATAGCTGTCAATGTTTTCCTTTTTTAAGGGAAATTCCCTTATTCCGAATAGGATTCCTCGCAAGAAAAGGGAAAAGTTGACAGCCATGCCCCTGCCCCAAGGCAAGGAGATACAACCTTTAGAAGCCATCTGAAGGCAGCCCTGTAGAGGGAAGTTTTTAAATGTTTTATTATATTTTTATATATGCTGGAAGCTGCCTGGAGTGGCTGTGGCAACCCAGTCAGATGGGCAAGGTATAACTAATAATATCATCATCATCTTCTTCATCATCATTATTGTACCTCGGGTTAAGAACTTAATTCGTTCTGGAGGTCTGTTCTTAACCTGAAACTGTTCTTAACCTGAAGCACCACTTTAGCTAATGGGGCCTCCCGCTGCCGCGGCGCCACCACTGCGCCATTTCTGTTCTCATCCTGAAGCAAAGTTCTTAACCCAAGTTAATATTTCTGGGTTAGCGGAGTCTGTAACTTGAAGCCCCTGTAACCTGAAGCGTCTGTAACCTGAGGTACCACTGTATTATTATTATTGAATAGGGCATCCCTATTCTCGTTGGAGAAATGCTGGAGGCTGTGATCTCCCCCAGCCTGCCATTAGCAAGCCTGCCAAAATGGTTTTCTTTCTCTTTAGCTATCCCAAGCCTCATGCCAAAGGCACCCAAATCCCCCTGTGACATCACTTCCTGTGCCCAGTTACCCAGGCAACCTTCCAAATCTCCTGTCCCCTGGGTTAAGGCTTCAAAGGATTTTTTTATTTTTGATTGAGCCCCCATAGGGTGGTATGAACCCTCTCAGCCCTATGGAGAATTTATACATATACCTATACATTATACCTATACATCATCATCTGGTTCAAGGGAGGAGACAGCGCCGCTCTCGCCTGGTCCGCCCCCCCCCGCTACTTTCCTCATTAGTTTCATTTCCCCCTGGCCTGGTTTAAGAAAGCCACACTCATTAAAATGTTAGCTGAGCTCTGAGGAGGAAATCATTAGCGGAGGGATCTGAAATCAGGATGGTTGGGGGGGGGGAGAGAACTGGAGGTGAAGAACGGCTGAGACCCCCGCCCTCCCCTTTCTGCACTTAGTACATCCAAGAATGGTTGCGTTTCACAGTCAGGCGTGGAATACTGGCACAGCGAAGCATCGAGAAGTCTCTCTGTGCCGGGGGAAGCAGAGCTGGTCTCTGTGTTAGGCAGAAGAAACTGGCAACGCCAACCACAGGGAAGGTGTGCTGAGCCCAGAGTCCAGCGGGTTATGTTGCAGGCAGGAATGGGGGCTGCCTCTGTGACTGCACAAAGGCCTGGGAAAAATCCAAAACATGGAATCAAAAGAGTTGGAAGGGCCCCTGAGGGTCATCTAGTCCAACTCCCTTTAACGCAGGAAATATGTGGGGATCGAACCTGCAACCGTGTCATTATCAACACCACACTCTAACCAACTGAAATAGCATTCCTGGTGCAATACGATAGGCCTCCCCACTATCTGCACTTAACAGAAACAGATGACGCCATCTTGGTTCCGGCAGGATAAAATGGTCTTTACCACTTGTTTGGGTTTCAGCCCTGTTTCAAATGTGTCTGTTGTCTTTGTGTTTTTAACTGTTTGGGGTTATTTATTTATTTTTCCAGATTGCGGTCTAGAAGGCTAGGAATAAATTTGTTGCAGTAAACAGCAGTGACATCTGGAGAGCCAAAGGTTCCCACATCCTTGTATAGGACTTGCTCAAAGCCCGGCATTCTGGCTGGATTGAAGAGTCCCTGGCCCGGGTCGTATCCACTTGCTTGCCCTTCCAACCCAACATCAGCGCCACTGGGGGGTGACTCACCGGCTCCGGCGATGACCTGATTTCTTTTTCTTTTTCTTCTTGGGCGGGGGAGAGGTGGAGCTGCTCGATCGTCTCTTCAGCCTGTAGAGGAGGAGGAGGAAGAGGCGTTTAGGATAGGCACTTGCTGGTTTACAGGGGTCCCCAACACAATACACTCCATAAGCTAATAAGACTCCAACTCCCATCAGCCCCCAGGTGACATTGCTAAGAGACAGGGATGGTGGGAGTTGTAGTCCATCCACTTCTGAAGGACACAATGTTGATGAACCCTGCTGTAAGCCAATTCAGTGGTTCTCAAACATTTTTGGGGCACAGTCCCACTGGTTCCATAAATTCACCCTCAGTTTTCCCTACCCTATTAAAAACATCATTCAGAATAGCAGTTTGCCGCCCAGTGGCTGGGGCATCCCAGTCAGATGGGGACATATTAACAACAACAACAGTACAGTAGCATTTATTTAAAATCCACTCAAAACCTTCTGTCTGGTTAATTCAACAAAACTGATTCAGTGGCACCAGACGTTGCATGAAAAATATTTTCACTGACAAAGACGCAAAGGCGATGGACATTTATAGCATGAGCTATTTATGTATAACTCCTTACCAGGCACGAACAAACCTTCGCTTACCGCAGACCTATGGTAGCTAATTTATAAGAAAAATCAATGGCTATCTCCCATAACTGGCTATCTTGTGGCAAGAACCGTAAATACAAACCAACGTGGCAAATTAAATAGCTTTGTAAGTGATCAAGAGCAGTAAAACTTTAAATGCGAAGCGAGGAAGGTGTTTCGCTCTAGGCACTAAACTGGTCAATGGTAAATAAGCGATCAATGGGTTTGGGGCAGCCCACCTACAGTGCCCCACTACTGCCCCCTCACTTCTTAGCACCCCCCCCACTGCCACCCCCTGGTCTCTGTGTCCTCCTGCCTCCCGCTTGCCTCTTAGAACCCCCCCCCCAAGTAATGCCACATCAGCTAGGGGGCAGTACTGCCCAAGGGTTTGTTTCTCACCATCAGAGCATGAAGAAGTCCCCATGCCTTTTCACAAAGACCCTTCTTGTAACCATGGGAAATGACCTGTGTTCTCCACGGGAGACTCACCTGTATTCGCGGTGACTGCTGTCGTCTTGGTAGCAGTCGGTCGTGCAGTCGCACTGCAAAGGGCATCCCTTCCCGTACTCCGGGTACTGCATCATGTACTCTTCGCCATCCACCATGTGATGGTTCTCGATCACTCTGCACCAAAGACAAAAGGAGGAGGGGGACGTTGCAGAAGTGGCGTGTATGGATCCGGGCTCTGCAAGGATTCGGGCCTGGAATAGGCCTGAGCAGTGGCGTAGCAAGGTCTGGTGGTACCCAGTGAGGAAAATTTCTTGTCACCCCCCCCCCCAAACATTAAAATCTAGTTGGACTCCCAAGAGACTGCAATCTACTCACAGTATAAAAAGGACTGGCTGTTATTTGCCCATTGTTATTGGCCAAAGCTGTTGAGCTTTTTTGGGGGTTGCAGGGTTTGGGTCGTGAGTTGATAGAGCTTCTGCTTCACTCCTTCCCTCCACCCTTCACTTGTTTGCTCGCCTGCTTCCTTGGTGCTGACCTTTAAAGCCCTAAACGGCCTCGGTCCAGTATATCTGAAGGAGCGTCTCCACCCCCATCGTTCTGCCCGGACACTGAGGTCCAGCGCCGAGGGCCTTCTGGCAGTTCCCTCCCTGCAAGAAGCCAAGTTACAGGGAACCAGGCAGAGGGCCTTCTCGGTAGTGGCACCCGCCCTGTGGAACGCCCTCCCACCAGATGTCAAAGAGAAAAACAACTATCAGACTTTTAGAAGACATCTGAAGGCAGCCCTGTTTAGGGAAGCTTTTAATGTTTGATGCATTACTGTATTTTAATATTTTGTTGGGAGCCACCCAGAGTGGCTGGGGAAACCCAGCCAGATGGGCGGGGTATAAATAATAAATTATTATTATTATTCCCATCCTCTCCCTGCCTGCCTGCCTGCATGCCTCCTCCAGCAGCCCGGGAGCGCGGGGCTGACAAAACGAAGTGCCGAAAAGCAGCACAACAACCCCCCTTCCCCCGACGGCTTGGGGCAGGCGAGAGTCGCGGGTGGCCCATGGGAACGAATGTCACCCCCCCAGTGATGACAGCCAGGGCGGACCACCCCCACTGCCCCCACCTTGCTCCTGCCCTGGGCCTGAGCCGGGTTATGTCTTAAGGACACCTCTCTTGATGGGCTCAACCACACTTCCACTTGCCCTGGTCTAGAAAGCATGGGTCCGAGCAGTTTTCCCTTTGTCCCGCTCCCTTCCCAGGAAAAAACCTCTCTTTAGCTTTAAATCAGAACAAACAGCCATCTGTGGGAAATTGCTGTTTTCTCCGATTGAGCGCTAAAGAGCAGTTTTCCCCAGGGGGGAAACAGCGGGACAAGGGGGAATACAAGAATATAAAAAGAAAGAGTCAGCCTGAAAGTGGGAGAAAAGGTGAAAGAGTGAAGGAAGTATGGAATGTTTCAGTTTTTTGACCCGCGATGTTGTTTTCCTGTCCCCGTCCCCCCCCCCCGCAAAGCCAATTTATTGTGGTTTCTTATTAACCAGGTTGTGACAACTTTATCATCCTTATAAAATTTGTATGTAAGCAGATCACCCTATTGATTAGCTCAGAGAAGAGCCTGGCTGATGGGGGTGCAATTGCCTTGTCTTAATAAACAGAGTCTTGAACAGACCTTTCCCCCAATCACAGTGTGAGGGCTTGATTTCTATTTCACAATGTGCAAATCCACACTCTCTCAAACCTTTTCTTATGCAAGGAACTCAGAGGAATATAGGAACCAGCAAGCACGATGGCATCACTTCCCCTTGCGGCTTATGAGTTTGGAGTGTGGGAGAACAACACAAAGCCAACACAGAGTGAGGGCAATGCATTTTGTCCCCCCTCACTCTGAATGGGTGTACATTTACCCTGCTGCCATTTATAAAGGGTCTCCCCCCTTTGAGCCCCAACATGTGCTATTCACAGCCCTCTAATTTGCACTCCAGTTACCACAGGCAAAAGCCACGAATAGGCTTTTCCGTGACAGCCATGCTTCTTTCCCTGATTCTCCAGCCCACTGATGTCTCTGTTGTATTTTCTGAGCCAAAACATCCTGGGGTTCATTTCCCTTAAAGCAGCCAATTATTCACTCGGTTTGTAATTGGGTTAAGCTCCCTTAGCGACAGAGATTAATGCTTCCTGGGCTGTGTCTGCAGGCTGCTGTGGCCTCCCCTTATAATTCCCCCCTTTCAGCTTTTTCCCTGGGGATGCCAGGCAAAAGAGGAGTGAGTCAGTTTCTCAAAACCATTTGCCAGCCTTGATATTTATAAGCGCTTACGATTTTGCAAAGGCAGACACACAAAGGCAGAGGGCATGAGACTCCCATGTTTTTCCACGATGCGGTTTTGCTGGGGCTGCTGCAAACCAATCGATTATTGAGTGAGTTCCCTAACCCAATCCAGAAATAATGTGGAAAGATGAACATAAGAAGGGCCTGCTGGATCAGGCCAATGGCCCATCTAGTCCAAGCATCCTCTTCTGACAATGGCCAACCAGATGACTTCAGGGAACATTACTGCCTCCAGCTGTGGAGACAGAGCAGAGCCATCATGGCTAGTAGACACTGATAGCTGTCTCCTCCATGAATTTATCCAATTCTCTTTTAATGCCATCCAAGTTGGTGATGGGGGGGGAAGGTTATATATATATATATATATATATATATATATATATATATATATATAATGTTCATGGATTTGCGTATGGGCCACATGTCTGAGGCAGCACAGGAGGGCAGTCCTGGAGCCATTTTGGCTCTCAAACTGACCAAATGTTTTCTCTGCAAGGTCAAAGGAAAATGGAAAAGCCTCCCCATTGTCTTTTCATTCACAAAACCTATCTTAAGGGTATATCTGTGTATGAATAGAGTGAGCCTGTGACCTGCCCCAGGAACTAAGTATTTGTCACTACAAAAGTCTGGCCAGGCTCCTCAGGTTCCCCAATCAAGTAAGCATTAACAGGTAACCTGCCAGACAGGAGATAAACAACACACTCAGATTTCTGTTGTAGACTGCCCTTTCTGTGATGTAGGTATGATGTGTCTGGGGGGTGGTCTTGAGCTACACCCCTTCTGTGATGTATGTATAATGTTTCTGGGGGTGGTCTTGGACTCCAAAGCGGGCAATTTAAAATGTCTATATAAGGGCGGGCACACCTTTGTTCTGGGTCCTCCTCCTCTGTCTTCCTGTGTGTGAGTGGAGCACCCTGTTGCAACAGTTCAATAAAGATCAGGCTTACTAGCTGCTTTGCTTCTCAATATTCTCTGGTTGGCCTCTGTTCTTTTCTCCGACCAATGGAGAACCTGCAAAGGACTCTATAAGGGCTCTTGTGTCCCCCATAAGGGAATAAGGGCAGATTTCCGTTTATTACAGAGACCATCACTGCCTCTTGGGGAAGGGAGTTCCATAGTTCAACTACGTGCTAAGAGGAGGGCACGCTTGGCAAATCCACACCGTGATCAACTCCCACCCGGAAACCAACTGTGGAAGGATGTGTGGATCCAGAATTGGCCTCCACAGTCACTTACAGACTCATTGTTAAAACCGTGTTTATGGAAGACAATCTTACTCGGCTGCGAGTGATTGCCAAAGAAGAGGAAGACGTCTTCAGACAACCATTCAACATTCAGCTTCATGAGAAACAGTGTTTTCAGAGAGCGAGAAAAACATTTCCTCTATCCACTTTATCCATGCCATGCATAATTTTGTAATACTAATATTTATTTAAATGCCACCCGTCTGACTGGGTTGCCCGGTTTTTGGGCACCACACAAGAACTCACCCCAAATGCATGTTTTTGGGGCGAGAGTAAGGTGTAGGGCAGGGGTCTGCAACCCGCGGCTCTGGAGCCGCATGTGGCTCTTTCACACCTTTGCCATGGCTCCGGAGCGGATACTAGCGAGGGGAGGAGGCGCATTGTGCGCCCCGACACTCCCCACTGTGGTGGGCGCTGTACTGGCTGTGACGTCGCATGGGGGCGGTGCGTGCGTTAGTCACGCACCGTCCCGACGTCACCTTCCTGCTGTCAGATTGCGGCTCCGGAGATATATTTGTTTTAAATGTTGCAATGGTTTTGCGGCTCCCAGTTGTTTTTTTCTTCGGAAACGGGTCCAAGTGGCTCTTTTTGTCTTAAAGGTTGCAGACCCCTAGTGTAGGGCATATGACTCTCCCAGCAGCACAACCCGGAAACTACATATCCCGGTTTTGCATTGGAAAAAGTTGGAAGGTATGATTAAAGTGATACGAAACCCTGGACCGCACAAGCTGCTCTACCTTTTCCCAAGTTCCCCGTGCTCCCCAGTTCCCCCACCCAAACGAGGCCTTCCTGTGCAATGAATCAGCAAGCTCTATTCCTGTCCCTCTTCAGTGACCTGGTTTCTTCTACGCCCTCCCCCAGTGCTGGCTAATGGATTATAATATGCGCTTTGCCGGCACGCCAGCTAAGTCACTATCAATCCTGGGAAAGCTCAGAAGCGTTGCTGATGGAGAGGGCCTCTCAAGTGGGGGCAGGGAGGCCAAGCCGTGGTCCGTGAGGGCAATCAGTCCATCAGGAAGGGAACCAACCAGCTTGGCTGCACCTTGCTGTGTTCGAGGGCAGGGGGAAAGCAGTCTGCAAGGAAAGTGAAAATGAGCCGCTGGGTTGCCTGACCTGGAAGCTTTCAAACCCAACTTTCTAGTTTTCTACATGCAAGGAGTTCTTTTGTGGGGGTGGAAATCCTTTGCCCTGACACGTTAGTTTTCTAGATGCAAGGAGTTCAGGGGAAACTAGGCTCTGTTGGCTCAGGCACACTGGAAACCAGGAGGGAGATATTAAAAGAGGCAGAGTTTGCAATGAGGATCCTAGCGCCTCTACAGATATATAGAAGAGAAGAAGAAGAGTTTGGATTTGATATCCCGCTTTATCACTACCCGAAGGAGTCTCAAAGCGGCTAACATTCTCCTTTCCCTTCCTCCCCCACAACAAACACTCTGTGAGGTGAGTGGGGCTGAGAGACTTCAGAGAAGTGTGCCTGGCCCAAGGTCACCCAGCAGCTGCATGTGGAGGAGCAGTGAAGCGAACCCAGTTCACCAGATTACGAGTCTACCACTCTTAACCTCTACACCACACTGGCTCTATATATCAACAGGTGTGTTCACATTGGCCAGGCAAGCAATTGGTACCAGCAATCCCTTCCTACTCACATTTGCCGCCCATGTTGGTCCTCGCGGGTGAGAACACCCTCCTTTTCCATCAGCATTTGCCGGAAGGTCCCCACTTTCTGACGGATCTCCTCTTCGGAATACCTGCCGTAGCAGACAAAGCAAAGAACGTGGGGGACAGAGTTAGTCAGGAATACTCGTGGTTTCATCCTCCCACCATTGCCCATTGTTCAGTTGTGATTCCTGCCTGGTAGCGGGGTGGACTAGATGATGCTTAGGGTCCCTTCCAACTCTAAGGTTCTATGATTCGATGACTTTATTTTTAAAAAATTCATGCACTTACATCCCTTCAATTTTCTCCAAGGAGCTCAAGGAGGCGTACAGAGTTCTCCCCATCTACATTTAATCTCAACAATAACCCGGTCTGAGAGAGACAGCGACTGGCCTGCCAAGGTCACCCAGTGAGCTTTACGGTCAAGTGAGAATTTGATTTTGGCTTTTTTGTGGCATCATCATCCTCACATCATTGCATTTCTTACCTGCCCTTCACTTCAGCGTCCCAGGACAGATCAGAACATTATAAAAATAGAGTCATGTAAGGTAGCTAAAGCTTTCTGGGAAATGATCTATAATGAGTTGGGGAAAATGCTAAAGATAACTTTTAAAAAACAACCCAGAAGCTTTTCTTTTAGATAGAATTGGTGAAGAGGTACCCAAAGAACGGGGGGGACGGGGACTATTTATGTACTCTGCTATGGCTGCCCTAATGATTTACGGCCAGAGATGGAAAGAAGAAACATCTCCAATGAAGGAAGATTGGCAACTAAAATTTATGCGCTGAAATGGCAAAACTTACCTAGAGAACAAGAAACCAAGAAGAGAGACTTTTTAATACAGAATGGGGGAAATGTATGGACTATTTGAAGATGTAAACAACTTAGAACATTAGCAGGATTCACATAAAAACATGCAGTAAGAATAACTTAAAGGGGATACAAAAGGAAAATTAGTAAATAAGTTTGAATTCGATATGCATTGGTAAAAGATATAAAATAAGTAACCACAGAAAGGTGGGGAGGGGGTTGAGGAGGATTTGGCATTGTAGATGGATTGTGTAAATATTATTTTCTTTACGTTAAAATACAAAATGCAAAATGAGAAAATGATTTTTTTAAAAAAATATAAAAATAGAACATTAAACTCAATTAAAAAAAATTACCATCCAAAAAAATGGGGTGGGTCCTAAAATCTCTCTCTCTCAGGTGGCCAAAGCCTGGGTAACCTTCAGCTTAGGGTGAAAGCCATGCAATGAATGTGCCAGACACACGGTAGTCGGGAGAGATTTCCACAACTGAGGGGCCGCCACAGAGAAGGCCCTTGTCCAGCTGCCACCCCCAAACTTCTGAGGGCAGTGGAGCTACCAAGAGGGCACCTAAAAGTGTCCGTAGGGAAGGAGAAGGTATTTCAGATATTTGGGGGCCTTTCGGGGCTTTAGACACTAATGTGAGGTCCTTGAATTGGGCTTGGAAACAAACTGGCAACTGTCCTTCTGCTGATGGACAAAGACTCTTTTATTCTGACACACCTTTAGGAACTGGTTGTTGTTGTTTTTTTAAAAAAGGAAAGGGATTTTATAATGCTCTGCTGTTTTTATCATCTGTATTTCAATAGATTTGGGTTTTTTGGTGTTTTTAACGCTATTTGAATTTAATTACGATTCGGTGATTAGCTTTTGTATTTTATCTGTGTTGAAAGCCAGTTGGAGGGGGAAATCAATATAACGATGATGATAATAACTGTTTAAAAATGGGCGTTTGCTGAGCTCTGGCCACTGCATTTTGGACCAAGTCATCTTCCAGGGCAGCCCCACAGAGAACGCGTCACAGACAAATCTTTTGGAAAGATCAAGTGTGCTGCAGAAGCCCAGCCGGTCTCAGACATCTTTCATCTCCTTAGGTAGATTCACGCTTAGGCTCTCATGCAATTAAAAAAACCCAAAACAACCCAGGCATTTCAGTGGGGGTGGGGTGGGGAGGCAAATTTGATCAGGCACCTAGCATCCAGGGAGGGTTTTGTACTCATGCGCAAGGTGCGTAGTTAAACTATGGAACTCTCTCCCACTGGAGGCAGCGATGACCACCAACTTGGATGGCTTTACAGGAGGACCGGACAAAGTCATGGAACAGAAGGCTATTGATGGCGACTAGCCGTGACAGAAAGGGACGCGGGTGGCGCTGTGGGTTAAACCACAGAGCCTAGGACTTGCCAATCAGAAGGTCAGCGGTTAGAATCCCCGCGACGGGGTGAGCTCCCGTCACTCAGTCCCTGCTCCTGCCAACCTAGCAGTTCGAAAGCACATCAAAGTGCAAGTAGATAAATAGGTACCGCTCTGGCGGGAAGGTAAACGGCGTTTCCGTGCGCTGCTCTGGTTCGCCAGAAGCGGCTTAGTCATGCTGGCCACATGACCCGGAAGCTGTACGCCGGCTCCCTCGGCCAAGAAAGCGAGATGAGCGCCGCAACCCCAGAGTTGATCACGACTGGATCTAATGGTCAGGGGTCCCTTTACCTTTACCTTTACCTTTACCTAGCCATGACAGCTCTGCTCTGCCTTTGCGGTTGGAGGCAGCAATGCTTCTGAATAACACTTGCTGGAAACTACAGGAGGATGGAGGGTTCGTGTGCTCTGAGAAGAGGATGCTGGAGTGAGTGGGCCATTGGCCTGAGACAGAAAGAGAGAGGAGGAGGAGGAGGGGGAAATATAGCCAGGGCAAACAGGTCTCCCTGCCCAGGTGCTGCTTTTTATCTCTGACGTTTGGCCTCTGGCGAAAAAGGGCGCCTTTGTTTTTCCTTCCCAATTGACTTAAGAGGCCCGGCCGAGTATTTATTGGGTGATTCAGCCTGGCTTCCACAGCTTTCATGGCCCATTAACTCTGAGTTACGGGCCAGCCAAAGGAGCTGGACGCTGCTCTCTGCTCGCAACCAGAGCCCCCCCCCCTCTCCGGCTGCCAGGCCTCAAGAGTCAGTGGGTCGATAGCTCAATGATTTATAGCATCGGGTGAAACATCCTGGAGAGGCGGGGAGAAGAGGAGATGGGGGCGCGCTCTTCCCTTTGTTTCCTTTGTGCTCTCGGAGCAGCGAAAGCGCCCAGCAGCTCGGCAGGAGCTTTGTCAACCCCCTCAAAAAGAAACAGGATGCTGGCCATGCCCGTTGCTGCACTGAGCAGCCTTGCATAAGCCCAGCACCACAATCCTTTCTATACGCAGGCCAGGCTCTCTATCAGGGGAGGAGGAACGGGAGGTCAATGAAACAGCCACTGCTTTGCATGCAGAAGGTCCGAGGTTCAGTTGCCAGGTATTATTCTCATTACCATTCTCAGCATTATCATTCCTTGCCTCCTGCCTCCTTCCCTGAGCCCGGGAAGCTTCTGTCCAGCTTAGGGAGGGAGGCAAGATGCTCTGGCAGGTGTCTGAGAGCCCTCCCTTGTGTGTTAAGTACCGGCACCTTTTACCCCCAGAAAAAAAGCACTGATTTTATTATTATTTATAGGTATTTAGGTAAGGCAGGGGAAAGCTTCTGCCAGTCAGTGTAGACAATACAGAGCCAGATGGACCAGTGGTGTGTCTCAGGGCTCACCCACACTTACTATGCCCTGTGCTTTCTAGGCAGAGCTCGAGTTTTGTTTTGTTCCGGTGCTTTCCCCGGAAAAATCCACGTTTCACTGCTGAATTGAAGCAAATGGAAATATGTAGAAAACTCAATTGCCATTGAGGTTTTACCAGGGAAAGTGCCGGGACAGAAAACAAACAAAACCCAATGGAAATCCTAGATTTGCACCTAGAAACATGACATGGAAGGAGGAGCAGGTGAGCCCTCAGCATAAGGCAGCTTACTGTGTTCCATCTTCACACCCCTATGGGGTGAAATCAGCACAGCTGAGGACATTGAAATCCCAAGTCCTCACATATCAGATAGACTGCTCCTGCTTGGAAGCTCTTGTGCAGCTATCAGTTCCGCCAAGATGTTATGGTGTGGGTGCCAAAGGGTTCCAGAGAGGGAACTTCTAGGGACGTCTAGGTAAAGGTAAAGGGACCCCCGACCATTAGGTCCAGTCGCGGACTCTGGAGTTGTGGCGCTCATCTCGCTTTATTGGCCGAGGGAGCCGGTGTACAGCTTCCGGGTCATGTGGCCAGCATGACTAAGCCACTTCTGGCGAACCAGAGCAGCACACAGAAACACCGTTTACCTTCCCGCCGGGGCGGTACCTATTGATCTACTTGCACTTTGACATGCTTTCGAACTGCTAGGTTGGCAGAAGCAGGGACTGAACAATGGGAGCTCACCCCGTCGCAGGAATTCGAATTGCTGACCTTCTGATCGGCAAGCCCTAGGCTCTGTGGTTTAGACTACAGCGCCACCTGCGTCTAGGAATGTCTACTCCCCAGTAATCCCCACTGAGTAATTTGGAGCTTACTCCCAGGGATGTGTTGGTATAGAGGATGGCAGATGCAATAGATTCCTGTTATTTCGTTCAAGAGCAGGGCTGGTGTATCCCTACTGAAGCTGGACCACTGTTACTGTATCTGGATTTCTCTTCCACTTCCCGTCAGTGAATGCACTTTCCTGTGTTAGGCTGTAGACACAGGGCCCACGAGAAGCTGCAATAACAGGGTCACCCACCCACTTGCGCCCACCCACAAGTAAATGTGCCTTTGGGTAATGCTTAGAGCCTGATCCTACGTGATGCTGAGCATTCCTTCTCATTTCTCGCCCCTTGGCAGCACCCTGGGGTTCCCCCCATGCAGGCAGCAGCTTGGGTAATGAGGCCATCAATAATTCTCCTTCATCTGCCTTCAAGGGATGCAAAGCATCCCGTTGGGAAGATATCGTGGTGACTCAGCTACGCTCAGTAGGGTATCTGGGCATGTCAGGCTGGGAGGTGAGCAGAGCCGGAGCCAGAAAGGTGGTGTTAGTACGGAAGTGCAATTTTTGCACACCTCTGAAATTTCGCGACGTTTCAGAATCCACACCTTTGCCTTCTAGAATGTGTCCAGGGGAAAAACCGGTTGCTCCCGAGAGCTCAGATGTGGTAGCTCATGTGTGGATTCACTTAACAGGCTCAGCTCCAAATCTAAAAGCCCCCTAGT